CCCCAAAACCCCAAAACCCCAAAACCCCGCTAGACGTATTCAACTAGTCGATGATGGATCTATAAAATTAATAAAATATAATAGAATGGTTCTAAAGTAAGCATTTTGGCTAGTAGCTGGTGTGGGTGTAGCTGCATTCCCTATTCATTAAATTCTTCATGATGAGCTAAAGACTCAATAGAAAGACATGGAAGTGTAGTTTAAGAGACAGTAGGAGTTGGTTTTCTATTTAAAGATGAAGAGTTTAAATAAATGAATAAAATTCACTTCTGGAATCAGTACTGATTAAACTCCATGATTTTGATATATTTGTTAATAGATTAATTGAAAGTTAAATTAATTTTTTATTAGTTGAAATATATACTTAAGGATATCCAAAGATTCACAACTATAATTTAAATATTGTTAGTTTCATGAAATAATTGATAAAACGTACACTTCCACGAAAAGCCAGAGATCAGCTTCCTATTTGGTCAGAATTCACACAACTGTCAACTAAATATAACTCTGTGAACCTGTGTCACGGTACTCCAGCCCTTGACCCACCTTCATTTTTAATTGATAACCTAGACAGAGCCTGCAGAGAAGGCTTCAACTAATATACTTTGTTTTCAGGACATCCATTATTTAGAGAGAAACTATCTGAATTTTTCTCTCCTATCTTCAGCTAGGGGAAAAATAATCAGAATCTAAACCCGAACACTGAGATTTTAGTCACAAACGGAGCTTCAGAGGCTCTTTTTTGTGCCATTCATCATTTAGTTGAAAAAGGAGATGAGGTTATCATGTTTGAGCCATATTATACATCTTACGTGAGTCATGTTGAATTTGGAGGAGCATAAATCAAAACAGCCCCTTTCTATCTGAAGGATGGCAAATGGGAGTACGACTTTGAGGCACTTGAGAGGCAAATTACTCCAAAGACTAAAGCACTCATGATAACTAATCCACATAATCCCACAAGCAAAGTTTTCACCTACGAAGAGTTACTCAGACTTACTGACATCGTTGAAAAGCATCCATAGTTGGTCGTTGTATCAGATGACGTATACTATTTTCTACCTTATGACAACAGAAAGTACCATCTATTTGCTAACATTAGAGAAAATTATAAAAGAACTATCACTATATTCTCAGCTGGGAAAATGATGAACTGCACTGGCTGGAAAGTTGGCTGGGCAATCGGACCAGATGATCTGATTAAAAATACCTGTCTTGTCCACGAAGCATCAGTTTTCAACAACAATGTGCCAGGATAGATAGCCATAGCCAAGAGTTTAGATTAAACTTTGAAACCTTACTAGGGCCATGCCAATTACTATCAATATGTGCAAAAGACATTTTAAGAGGCTAGAGACAATGCAATTAATTTGCTAAAGATGTCTAATACCGTAAAATTTAAGCCAACCTAATGTGAAAGTGGTTACTTTATGGCAGTCGATATCTCAGAGAATGAGCATTTGATTCCAGACAAGTACAAGTAGCTTGGAAACTATGAGAATGACCCTAATACTATTGTAATTCAAAGACAATTCAAGGATAGAGTTCATTTGGATTATGCATTCTGCAGATGGCTTGCAGTAGAGAAGGGCATATCTTTGATGCCGCTTAGCTCATTCTGCTTGGAAGAAAGCAAATTTAAACTAGAAAACTTTATCAGACTTGCTATTTGCAAAACTCCACAAACATTCACTGATCCTAACTTAGTCAAGAGATTCTCAAGCATTTGAAGAGTACTTTAATGACAAAGTGACCTTGTACGCATAAGCAGACAGTCAAAACAAACATTCTAGTATTCAAATTATCTATATTGAACTTAATTTCCGATGATTACTTACATTAACTGTTAATTCAAAATATTTCTACTCAATATCTGATAAATTAGTTTAGAGGGGTTTTGGGGTTTTGGGG